TATCGGAGGGAGGATACAATTCAAAATAAACATATAGGATACGAGTGTATCTTAGGCCAATATTTTGGTATAAATTTACTGTAGATTGAATAACGTATTTTATCACCAAGTGGATCATATCACTAAATGGATCACTCAATTTATATACAAAATTCGTCTATACATAACCATGCACTTTCTTTATTTATCAATAGAATTTTTTAAAAATTGAATATATAAAATTTAATTATTAAGATATTATAAAAATCTAATTTTTTTCCTAAAATTCGAATTAATATAAGAATTATTATAGAAATAGTTTTTTTGTAATGAAAATCGTAACATTTTTAATTTTTTATTAAATATAATAGAAATATTTATATAAAAACTAGATTTCTAAGAAACTGAACTTTCATTATTATTAAATCCTTTTACTTTTCGAAAATAATGATTAGTTATTAAAATAAGAATATTTAAAAATTGCTAGTTTTGGTGTATTTTCAAATAATCCGCTCGGTGATATAATCCACTTGGTGATAAAACACGTTATGGATTAGTAACGATCTGTATACATGAGATGCATGACCGTGACAATATAATATACAGTGTGGGAGGAACGCGTTTCTGCATAACTCAGAGATGTTAAAGAAGTTTGGGGGACACAGTGATAACCTACTGACACAATTGAACTTACGCATGATTTCATTAAACCATTGAAATATTTGAGATCTATAATCAGTGGAAAGGGGTTCCTGAAAGATGAGTAGCCCACAAATAGACGGATATCTTAGAGGTTCACCGCGAAGAAAAATGTAGACTGGCGGTCTTCGATATGAATATCAATCATATTTGATACCAGCGAAACAAATGAATCCATGTAACTGAGCATCTTGATTTCCAAAGATCTCCACGATTAGTTTTCCATCCAAGACTCAATCTAGATTTTATCGCGTTAGAACCAGGTATCTATCATCAAACGAGCCATATATCTGAATAAAGAAAGCTATACTAATTGGATCATAGTTAGCTCAATTAAAGCTTTACATTCACATATCATTATGACGATTTTTCTCTTCGAGCAACTTGAATCAAGAAAAAGTTACTCAAATATTGATTTCTCTTCCTTAAAACTAAGAATTCTCTATCATACGATTTTTTAGCCAAGACAAATACAGGTATAATGACTACCGCTTCAAATTCTGCTCCTACCATTGATAATGATAGAGATTTGGTACTGCTATTGTGTTCTAAGCTATTCTAATATTCTATTTTAGCATCTAAAATCAACGCTGCTGCGACGAGTATCTCGAGCGACGCGAAAATACTATCAAACATTGGAGTCAATTCTGCCCACGATTCAAAGCCCGTGACTCCGAGGCATCGGATGCATTTTGAAATTCTTAAGCTTTACTTCGTGAGCAGCTATATCCTTGTCAAGCTGAGCAATCATATCCTTGTTATCCTTATGCTGAGGAGAGATCTCTGCCGACTTTGTTTTTAGAGCCTCTGTTGCAGATTTCAGACTTTTTAGAGAGTTTTCTGCCCTAATTTTAAAAAACCCGGACATGATGTCCTTAGCATGTTCATTTTCGTCATTTATGTCAATTGGCTTAAGCATTGCTGCTGCCTTCTTGTTGTATTTTTCCGTCATGTTTTGTAAGTCTTCCAATGTCCAGTCTTTGCTGTCAACAAAGGTAAATGGATATGAAATCTTCTTTTTATCATTGTTTCCGCTTTTCTTGACTTGATCATTGGAGGAAGGGTTTTGTGATGAGGATCGTTTTCAAGTTTTGGAATTTGAAGGGCGAGCGTTTACGGCATTTGTTGGTCTTTCCTTTGAACTCTCCCCTCTCGCGGTGTGTTTACCCGAAGATGACATTATAGTAATCCGAGATAGAAAATTTAATTTTGAGCCCTTAAGGAGAGATTAAGAGATTGTTATAAAATTCAAGAGTTTGCAACTATTATTTTCTTAAAAAACAGAGTATCTACTCGCTATTTATAATTTTAAATAACTAAGTATTAAATCTTTATAATAACTAGTATTCTTTCAATTTGTAGGTAATCTGTTTATTGATGGTTCATCTAAATTTTGATTATAATAATTATAGCCTGTAGTTGGCTAAAGGCAGGCCAAGGTCATATGTAGTATAGGCAATAGTATACTATAATAAAACTATGACGCGTATTAACATATTAATATTACAACTAATACATTTAGTATGAAAATCCATAATAAGTCTACTAAATCACTTATTAATATCTTACTGATTAAGAGATATCTTAATGACTAATATATATATAATATGATTTTATATTATTATATAACGTGGTTTATCATTGAGTAGGCTATATCATTGAGTGGGCTACTTTTCCCTTAATTCACACCTTCAATTTCTATATATGATTTATTAATCAATTATTATAAAATTAATTAATTAAGAAGCCTAAATATTTCTTGTTATTGAAACTATTTATAAAGATAAAAAACTAAATATTCGAAAAGCTTTTAAGTTTTATAATATTCTTTATATAATTTTTTAATATAAAATGGATGATTTATTATTTTGTATAAAAACTTGGGCGAATTGTTATAATATTATAGAATTAGAAAAGGAAATAATTGTTCAATATATTTTTGATATAGATTTGAGAGATTTTTTATTTAAATTAAGAAATATGGAAAATATAGCAAATTATATTTTCGAATCGAGGGGTATAAAGTGTATTAAAAAGTTTTGAGTATATTGATTTATAAAGTATTAAATTGAATTAAAAATATATTTTAATTATATTTATAATTTTCAAAGGTCTTTTTATAAAGATTCTAAGTTTATTAAAGAATAATTTTGATTGATTATAAATATGTAAGCGAAATATAGTATTTTGGATAATGATTTTTATAGTAGATATAATATACTCTAGAATAATTATAATTAATATTAAATAAAATAACAGAAATAAGGTAATATAATTAGGTAATAAAGAATAAGCTATAGCAATTATATATAATAATAGGAAGAATGAAATTATACCCCCATTTCTAGTAGTTTAAGAACAGGTTTATTTTTTCAATTAATATATTGAAACCAATTTTCTTACAAATTAAACTATTAAATCTATATTTAATAAATAAACAAATAATAAAATAGATTTAGAATAATTAAGATATTTTGATAAATATACTAAAAATTAAAGAAAGAGTAGATATCAAATATTAATATTAAATAAATATAAAAACTATAAATTAAGAGTTTTTCAAATGTATTGTAAAAAGAATAATATTATATACTTAAATCTATTATTATATTTAAATTATTTAATTCAACCATTTAATATAAACTATTTTAATAATTTGAAATATTTATATAATAATCAAATTAATAGATTTATTAGAATATATATTAATTATATTTCAAAGATTAAATTCTTTATAGTTTTTAAAACTATATATAAAAAATCATTTACTTCTTAGAATATAAAATTAGAATTTCAAGGAATAAGTTTAATTCCATTTAATTCTGAAGTTGTATTTTCAAAATTAGATATTCGAATTTGTATACCTATTCCCTTCTTTTTTGATTTAAATCAATAAATCTTTTAAATCCTTTATAATTCAATTAAAGTTCTTTTTTAATTAATATTAATTAAATCTTAAATAATTCATTATTAATCAAGCTCTTCTACACCTATATTCAAGATTATATTAGTTTTAATTAAAAATATAAAAAGATTAGTTTATAAAAATATACTTTTAAATATAAAGATTTGTATATTTCGAATAATAAATAAAATATTAAATAAATATCGATATACAAAAAAAACTTAATTATATTAAGAGAGAGTATTTATTGAATAAATTTTTTTTAATATGTTATTTTAATAAAAGATTGATATTCAAATTCAATACAATAAATATCAAAAAGAAAGAAATTCTAATAGAGAAGTATTTTTTAATTAATACTATAATAAGTATAGAAAGACTGGATATAATATAAGAATTTGTTAAAATGATATAATAGATTCTAGATTATTAAAATCTTAATAGTTTTAATCAATTGATTTAATAATTATTGAATAATATAGATTTGAAAATATAAATTGAGGGAAAAATGGCTCACTCAATGATATAGCCTACTCGATGATAAACCATGTTAGTTGTATAATAGTATCTTTTATCAAATCGATTTATAATGAAATAGAATGAAATAAAACCAAATGGAAATATATAGAAGATTATTACTAAATTGATTAAATTTGATTGATTGTACTTTCTGTTTATTATATAAAATGATTCCATAGGATTTGATTTAAATCGATCTTATTTATAAGTATAGAATATACTAGAATTTCATTATAAACTATATAAACCTAAAATATTCTTTAAAGAAAACCTAGAAAAAGTAAGCAATTTCATCTCAATTAAGCCTAGTTCTTATAAATTGACTTCAATTCAATTCTTATTATATATATTCGATTCGTTCCTAAGCTTAAATTGACTAATTTTCCACTATTATTACAATGATAATTATTCTAATTATTATAATATATAACCTCCAATAAATACAAATAGACTTTTTCATATGAAAATAATGATTTTAGATTCAAACTTGACAGTCTTTCAAATCTAAGAAATTCACTGAATACCGTTCCATTAAAGTCTATTTAATTAATATAAAGATGATATTAATCTGATTAATACTTTGAAACCTATTTGTTTAATATATGATTGAATATTGAAGATTCTATAATAATTAATGAAGCGATCACTTCGTTAACCACGGATCCTGCCACCACAGGGGTTGGATTACTTTCGTTAGCGCTAAAAGTACCATTGTGCCGTATCTCAAAATTTCTTTTACTAACATAACCTGAATTGAAGTTAAAACAACGACTTATACTCCTTCAGCGTCAATTAAGAACCCATCTGCAACAACATCGCGAGACCTTACCTGGAGGACCCCATTCTTCTCGAAGATTCCATTGATCAATACAGGTATACAAATCATGGCTGCTCCTTCATGCTCTATTGTCATCATCGATCCCGATGGAATCTGGTACTTCTTCTAGGGCCGGTGCCACTTTCGAAATTCGATGAATCCACTTCAAACCCCCGCATCGACGTTCCTAATGCAAAAATTCTCTGTCCAAAGGCGGCCAACAGCCCTAGCGAAACTCAAAATGAACTTACTCAACTGTTCAGGTCTGGGATACTGGTCTCCTCAAAGCATATGTCGTTTGCTTCACCAGTTTTCAAGGCTATGTTGACAGGAGAATTCAGGGAGGCTGTTGAACTTAGAGAGAAAGGTGGAACCAAGATACCACTTCCAGATGATGATGTAGATGCCATGATCACGTTGGTCAAGGTTATACATGGCCGCTTAAAATCAATCTCGAAATGCACCAATTTAATTTTGCTTACCAAAATCGCCATCTTGGTCGACAAATATCAATGCCATGAGTCGACCGAGTTTGCAGTCAAGGCTTGGATCACAAATCATAGTCCATGTCTATAGAGCCGGAGCTGGTACGAGACTGCTTGCTGTATATGTGTGTCATGGGTATTTAGACTAGAAGATGAGTTCAGAGCAGAAACAAAGGAGATCATCAGAGAAAGTAGTGTGGGCCTTGAAGCAGTATTGAAGGAGAATGATCTGGCTTTTTGTCAGTAAAATTTCAAATCAGATGAAGGTTTCTCGATCGCTGACACGTTTTTAAGATAAGATAGATGAAAGCCGTGAGAATGTCCTAAGCCAACATATCAAAGTTCTCGAGGATACAATATCTAGGTACCAGGCCCAAAGTTTGGTATGTCCCAGCCACAGTTTGCGATTTGTCTTGAACATAATCTCTCAGAGAAACCTGCGATGCAACGGTTCTTGGAAGTCTCATAAAAGGAGCCACAGAAAAGGGGCTGTTTCCGTTTCCAGAAGCTCCATTCAATAATGCGCTGCAGTATTACTTAGTCAAGGGCAACATCGCATCACTCAGCCCCCAGACTGCCTGTAGTGTAATTGTACAAGACCAATCACTACACCACAATATCTTGGAAAAGATTCAACAATCGATTGAGTCCCTAGACAAAAACATATCTGGATTGAGTCTGGCAGATTGCAAATAGGATTCTCACGTGTGCTCACTAGCTTTTTTCATACCTTCTCCAGTTCTGTCGATAAATTTCTTCCACAGAGATATGGCTCCTGGGAGGTGTATGAAGACGATTCTCACATAGAATACAGTCACGAACTTGAGTTCGTTCTTTTCTGTTTAGTGACTGCGGTCCTTCCATCATGGCGTAATCTAGCACAACGATTTCTATCTCAAATCTGCAATCTCACTTCCCCCCACAGGCGATTTTGAAAACTCTGCTTCATTTATTGACGAGGAACCTGTCGCTTACATATGACTAGAATATGGGAGAGAACAGAAAGGACGGGTGGATCATAGTTATGAAATTACAAACTGTTCATGAAACGTTCTCGAACGAAGAAATCCTCGGCGTTGTGCAGAATTGAAAGCCTGGCTGGACCCTACCTCAATAATATTAATAATATGCATCTCATCTACTGTTCATCTTTCTGAGATGTGAATAAATACATGTTGTACCTATGTTGTGGTTAGAATGGTCACCTTTGTGACTCGCCAGAGGCACTATTTGATAGCTCCAAACTTTCATAGATTAGTCATTTGGTTATGCTCCTTTTTAAATTATCGATTCACTGTAGGAATACTAGGTAAAATAGGATCTTATCTTTATACGCTAATCAAAGCCAGCTAAGTACACGGGCGTATACAGCTCGCTAAGCCTGTCGCACATACTGGCTATCTCTAGAGCATCTTTATTACTCGTGCATCAACAAAAACTTCCTCTCATCAATAAAGCAAACACAGATACACTGAGCAATTTGTCCTGAAAGTTTGATGTAAGTGCTCTAGTTTCTAATATACGGTAGTGGAGTACCCTCATTTTACTACTGAAGTTTTCCTGGTTTGACAAAATACTTTCTGCGAACCTAAGGCGTCTTCTCTTTTGCAAAACACGATAAAATCAGGAAGAAGAACACACCGTAGTATTTCAACAAGCTAGTGAGTGCCGTTGTTCACGGACCATAGATCTCATCCTGCTGAATTTCCCCCCACCAGCATCTCCAAAAGAGTGAGAATTATTGCTGATCTATCTTCTAGATCGGTTCTGATTACGCTATCTTGCCTCAACTTTGCAACGACTCAAAGTACACGGTCACCACCTTGCCTTCTATGCTTTACTGTGTTCCACCATCCTATTTTTCAGAACTAAGATAATCACAATACGATGGCAGCATCTTCAAGCGCACACATCATTGTCGACCCAGATGGAGATTTGTTCCTCCTCCTGAATCCAACCATACCAAATTCCACAAAATCCGACTATTCTTCTCTAGCAGACCCCGAGGCTATCAATGCTCCGACGGATGACATATCTACGGAATTGCAGATGATACGCTCCCTTGAAGGTGGAATGGTACAGACCTGGCAGGACGAGCCACCCCCGATATATAGCGACCATATACTGGTATCTTCGAAGCACATGTGTTTAGCCTCTCCAGTATTCAAAGCAATGCTACAGGGCGAATTCAAGCAAAGTGTCACGCTAAAGACTATGGGGAAACTCGAAGTTCCACTTCCAGATGATAACCCCACTGCCATGAAAATCTTGATTAATATCATCCATGGTAGGATGAGCATGGTTCCATTGAAGATTGCATTAGAACTGTTCTGTCAAATTGCAATTCTGGTTGATAAATATCAGTGTCGGGAAATTGTACAGCTTTTGCCTCCTGTATGGAAAAATGAATTTTCGCATACATTCTCTCAAGGTCAATGGGTCGACATTGTCCACTGGGTATGCATAGCTTGGCAGTTCGAGCTTGAAGACGAATTTCTCAAAGCTACGCAAATAATACGAGAGAGGAGTAGTTGGACTATGGAAAATTTGATAGGTTGCATCAAATACGACCTGCCGATACCGAATTACGTAGTCGGTAAGTTTTCCGTGGCACTGAGTACGAAATCATTAACATTTCCAGATAAAATCGAGTCGTGTCGGCTTGAAGGAATGAGAAAGGTCTGCAAGATTATCCAAGATACCATAACTAAATATCAAAGCTCAAGTTATAGTTGCAGTGCTACCAATATTCCGTGGGTTATCGACACTTCTGACAAACACCATGGAATTGCCAATGATCTCCCTTCTTATAGAAACGATTGCGATTCGATGGTGCTTGGATCTCTCATCAAGAGTTCTGTGAGTAACGGATTATATCCACTCCCGGAACAACCATACACTTTATGGTCCTTGAATTCACTTACTGCGAAAGTCAAGCTCCTCAAGGCTGATTCGCTGTGCTTCAAGCTCACGCAAGAAAAGCTCGAAGATCACAACATTACGGGAAGCATCAGAAAATCTGTCAAAGCTATTGACAAATCGGGATTGAGTCTATCGATATGCAAGGAGCTGGCCTTTTGTTAGCCAACTAATTATAAAACTTCCAAATAAACGCTCAAAGTTCATAGTATCATGAAGCAGCGCTTTCTTCTATTCTCTCCATGGCCAGCTTGTTTATATTATGACTCCTCTCCTTTTGGTTCAATTTCATTCAACGTAGCATCCACCGATATCCAACCATCATTTCAGTGGTTGAACGCTGTGATGTTTGAAAAAGATAATATATAGGAGGGCATGGTTTATTTATGAACATAAAATCATCATATTGGCATGTCCCAATGGTGATTTATTAGATTATAGATAGCAACTAATAAATTAGCTACCTCTCGGCATTGATGTTGCACTTCGAAAATCGTTGGCACCGAAATTTCATTTTTATTACTTTTGTAAGCGTTTGTTGCAGCTCTGACATGGATTGTGATCGATAAGATGCATGCTTGAGGCAAATTAGTATATAAATTTACATCCACATCAAGCAATCCGGTCTATAGCCGCTACCAAAAGCAATCGAAAAAAATGCCAAAAAATCAAAATGTTCATGAGTTCGGTGATGTCATCATACTTGCAGGAGACACATCAGATGTGATAAAATCTTCTAACCAAAGCTCTGTCGTCAAGACAGGAAATATCATCAGGGTGTCGGAATTCAATGACGTGCAAGTACGAGATAGTTATTCTCGATGCATACTAGGATAAGGAAATCCCGATTCTGGGAACATGACTATATTCATTGGGCACCTCTCAATCGGGGGCTACAGCAGGAACTTTCGTGGAATTAGAAAAGTTGAATAGCGAAATATCTTTCCATAGTAGTGAAGAATTCGAGAATAATCGCAAACCTGCTAAATATATCTACCAACGCAACTAAACGGCTTATAAGATATTCGTGATATTTCACGATCTCATAACGATGGATTACCGAAACGCTCTGAGAGGAGGAGATACTTCTGTAGATGGAATGCATGACAATTCTGCTGACAACTATTTGATAACACTTCACAGAACGCACCGACCAAATTTATCGACCTTAACCATGGCCCTTTAGCTTTCGATTATGTGTAACCACAAGGACAATGATATTGGGCTAGCACACAGCCCTAAAGCATTCTTGAGGGGCAGCACTGATGCTCACTTAGATGACAGAAGATCTAGAAGCCTTTCATTGAGTCCATATGCATCATGCAGGAGAGCGAAAATGATATCCTTATAAGGCACCACCCTGATACTATTTGCGGAAACGCCTTGCATTGAACCAGAGGAATTCCCCGAGCCTAATGCTGTGAGGCTTACTGTTTCTCCGGCGGTCTTATTTTAGATGACGCGTTGCTTCTGGAACGCGTCAGACAACCTGAATGTCCACGATGACCAATCTCATTATGATCCCACTACTAATCAGCCCAAGTGGTGTCAAAACAATCAGCTTGGCTGGGTCACACAGTTAAGGAATCTTCCGAGAGAAAAATTCATTCTTCAACATATGAACTGGGTGGAAATATGAAAAAAAAAAAGGCAGGGTCATTCTCTAATCTGACGTTTATTTGGTAGATTCACGACGATATTCTTCCATTTCCCCTCATACGATGTATCTCAATTTCTGGGTGAGTTCCGAGTGACCTGGCATCAACGCTTACAGATATAAGATATATGGTGGAGATGTTGCTATACATTCAGTATCATGGTAGCAATGGGTGGTGCAGGAAGCCAATTTGGGAAACACTTAAGCCCCTTCGTATAGTCAGGCGCCAAATCCGCAACTATAGAGTCCCAACACACATATATATGAGCTGGCAATACCACAATACGAACGATATGTCCTTTAAAGTAACGCCAGTATGTAGATCTACAACCAATAACGGTTCACAGCGGGACTCGGCTGAAGTGCCTATACTCAGCCGCCGTTACACTAATTATCGGTTCGGCATAATGAACGCGGCTCACAACTATGTACCGGGAATCCCCTCCAAGTTTAAGTGACATACATTGCGATTTTTTCCGGATCCATCACATTTCCCCACAATCGCTGGGCGGGGAACCTGTGTAAGATTTTGGGAGACCGGATTTCAATACTTACTGGTAATCACCCCGCGTTTCGCGAAAGTATATCCTTACCCATGTCACGGAAGGGAACATAAATCGACCGGGTATCTGCTGCTCGTAAGTCTTGATTAGGAAATCTTCTCGGCTATCAAGTTGGAGAACGTGACAGTGAGAGTCTTGGGATCTCCGAATGGTTCTTCCGCCCGTTATATGAGAAATAGAATGCGTGGGTGCTCGATCGTCGGCGAAGAGAACATGTAAGCTTCAAGGACGAATATGTCATGCTTGATACGCCGCGGAAAGAATGTGCAGCCAGGAAGCGGCTTTGTGCCGTTGAGAATCATAGCTGAAGTTCGATAATTTTATGTGTTTTTAGCTTTTCGCGCTGCCGCAACTGCAGGTTGTAGATTCGGCGAATTACTGCAGGAAGGCTGCAACGTTCTTGGGATGACTGGTCTTGGCTTACCTCTTCCAGGGTCCCGGATTGTCTAAAAAATTGTTAGAAATACTTCCTGTATTGCATGAGACGCAGATTCTTCGTACGTGATCAAATATGGGATTGCGTCTGAACCTACCATAAATCATCTAAGTCGTTACTGAAAAGTATTTAAGTTGTGGTAGGTAAGCCAACAAGCCATTCTACAGAGTCCGGAACTCTGGCGCAGTGAAAGTTTGGAGACGAGAAATCCACAGCGAGGATTTCTGACACGTGTTGAGATAAATTTTGCAGCTCTTGAGCTTAATTTTGGTGTGGGAGAATGCTTGATGTGTAGATTCATCGTTGTGTTGCCCCTTTTCCTGCCGTGATTTTGATTCATCAGGAGGTACGAGCGAGGGGATAGACTTTCGGTTGAAAGAGAAGAGTCTTTTGATATGGGGATATGTATTGAAATATAGGGTTCCAGACTTCGAGGTAAATGAAATCGTCAAATAGATTTTCCGATATTCTTATAGATCCTAGTCAACTTACCCACCCACCCCCATTCTTGCCCCCAATCAACTTCCCCAAGTTTTCTCCGCCTATCCGAGATTGGGACTACTGCGTTATACTTGCTTTTCGACGTGTTAATTGGCCAAGCGTAGTACAGGAACCGTGTGGGGAAATTGCTTGGGGAAAATGGGATCGTGGAGGCGGAAAAAGATCAGATGAAATTTGACAAGTAAAGTACTTTCCCCGTGGTACGACAGGTCTAAAGAGTCTAATATAGTCTTCGATCCTCAAAGCTAGGATACAAAACTGGAGGGATCATCAATCCTCGTGTCCAACAGATCTACAAAGACTTTTATTGCTGAACACCAACAGAAAATGTCAATCTGACATAGAACCCAAGCATATGATTTTTCATCAAGACCCAATTGAGTATCCTACAAAGACTATCCCAATTTTCATTTCCCTGTTAATGCAGGAAGAGGTTTGGAACTTGGAGTACCTTCCAAGCACGAGATCCAGTAAAGAGGAAATCAGCTCATGTTCCTCGTGAGGATCTGCATATTCATATATGCTGTGGCCAGAATACTTACAAGCCCCACGGTTGCATTAAACGACGCCAGGAAGCTTTCAACGTTTCACAACTACACCGTCGTGGATATAATATTGCAATATATCCAATATATCAAGGATTTTGGCCAAAAGAAGAGTCCTGCTGCCGTCAGCGAATGTCAGCTTTCCCCCAAAAACGACGTCAGCGCCTTCATCCGTGACCGTTGGTTTGCCAGTATTTTACGAATTGAAGTTTACCGGAAACACTGCAGTCATCCCCCGTACCTCCAGCGTCCTCGAACATCTTACTATCAACTCACGCACATGCAATTTCTCAGCTCAGAAGCCAAGAGGATACTATCATCGACGTATTTTTGTCATATTTCATATTGAGTTGATAAAGCTGCACTTGCTGTAATCAATTCGCAACTCATTCCAGACCCCAATCCAATCCAGACCGAATTCTGACGAGGTGGGTCTGATATTGTCCTTCGGCCATCGGCACACATTTTCATGCCTTCATCAATTGGTTCAACAAAGATGTTTCATACTTGTAAGTATATATTCGAAAAGAAGACATCCGAATTACCGAGTGGAGTAACAAAGTTCCATGCTGATCATTGTTCTAACGTTGTATTAGTTCAAGGACTGGCGCCACCCCGCGAAACTTTAAGCACGGAACAATCAATAATTGTAGATACCCCCAACCCGACGACGAATGGAGTAACGAAAAGAATTACAACTCCACACGCATGTGCAGAATGTAAACGTCGTAAGATTCGATGCGATGGCCGACAGCCTTGTGGGCAATGTGTTGGATGTCGTTCTCCTAAACCATGTTATTACGATAAACATAGACAGAGGGTGATTCCATCTCGAAAGTACGATAATTGTGCAATTCCAAGCCCTGCTTTAAAGTACTGATTGAAGTAGAACCCTTGATGCTCTCTCTCAATCTTTAGACGAATGTCGTACAGTTTTACGACGACTTTATCCAGATCAAGATGTGAAACAATTGTTGCCGTTGTCGCGAAATGAACTCGTTGCTCTCATCGATCGATCCCCGCGAAGTGTGCTCTCGAATACATCCCCCTCTGCTTCAAATACCTCTCCAACATCACAGGAATATAGGTCGCCCTTGAACTCTGGGTCGGACGAAGATAGAAGTCTGGCAAATCTTGAACAGATACCAAATCAAGATATTGAATGGGACGAGGAAAGAAGAAATCGAGATCCAATACCCACAGAGGCGGATGATGTGAATGCTTTATCTCTCTCAGTTGATAGACAGTCGTCGTACTTAGGTGCGACTTCAATTAAAGCCGCACTTTTGGTTATGCTCAAGGTAGCACCGAGACTACGATCTCTCTTCTTGGCACCTTCTAACAACAAGCAAATCTCAGCAAGTAGTAACTATCCCACACCACGACCAGGAAGTTCTACCAAAGACTTACAAGCAATATCATGGTCATCTAACGGCCAGACTCTTATTGATGCATACTTCAACAGAGTGCAAATATTTGTACCAATGCTCGATGAACCCACGTTTAGAGCCGACTTTCTGAGCGGGCGACGTCAAGATGCTCCATGGCTTGGTCTCTTAAACATGGTATTTGCAATGGGAAGTATTGTCGCAAGCAAATCAGATGATCACAACCATATCAATTACTACAACCAAGCGAAAGACCACCTCGGAATTGATTCTTTTGGTAGTGGACACTTGGAAACGTTACAAGCTCTGTCATTGATGGGAGGGTTTTATCTTCACTACATCAATCGTCCAAATACTGCCAATGCTATCTGTGGAGCTGCTTTGAGAATGGCTTGTGCAATGGGGTTACATCGTGAAAGTATGCATGAGAACAGCGTTGAGAGCAATCTGATTGCAGAACAGAGACGAAAAACGTGGTGGAGTTTATTCTGTCTTGATACATGGGCGTCTACGACATTGGGAAGACCTTCTATGGGTCGTTGGGGCCCTGCTATTACCATGCAGCCTCCCGAATCAACAATGAGCACTGTTTGTAAATCCCTTTCCAACTCACCTGTTCATAGCTAACGTTATTCTAGAATCAAAATATGAATATTACTCCCCTAATAGAGAACATCAAATTTTGCAAAGTTGCCACACAAATTCAGGACGCTCTTGCCCAAACTCCGCTTCTCCGAACTGATGACCTTGCAAATCTCGACAGACAGCTCGTAGAATGGTATGATAATCTTCCTTGGATCTTACGCTCTAGAGAACCTTGTCCGGAATCAATTCATACTGCTCGATGCGTCATGAAATGGAGATATCAGAATCTTCGCATGGTACTTTACAGACCTGTTCTTCTGAATCTTGCCAATAGAGGTAATCAAGGAATTTCACACACCAAGGAAGAACTCGCAGCTGTCCTAATATGTCGCAAAATTGCCCAAGAAACCATTGAAGATATAGCACGTGAATGGACTCCGAACCAGATGTTGGGATGGAATGGTGTGTGGTTCATGTATCAAGCATCCATGATCCCGCTTGTCAGTATATTCTGGGAATCATGGAACACGAATCTTGTTCGGATTTGGCAATCACAGATTGAAGTTGTGCTTGAAGCGTTTGATGGTATGGCGGATTGGTCTTTGGCTGCTAGACGAAGTAGGGAAGTGGTGAGCAAGGTCTATGAAGTCAGTAAGCGACCTCTGACTAGACAACCGAGTCCGGGGTTGAGCCATACGACAGATGATATGAGTCGAATGGGAGGAATAGATGGAAGACATTATATGGATAGTGATATGTTGCAGCAGGTTGAAATTATGGGAGAAGAACAATTAATGATGCTTGATAATGGGGGGATATGGGATTTGGATGGCATGTTATGGGGGAATTTGCCGGATGGATTGGATATGCCCTATGATGGTCTGCCAATGCAGTATGATGATTCAGGCATGGCACAATTCGAAGGGCCATATATCATCCATCAATGATCGGTATGTTTGTGATTGAGGTAGGACATTCTACCGTCTACACAAGAGCAGATCTCATCATGGGAGGTAATTTGGGTATTTTACCCAGGACAGCGAGAAAATTTGATGGGTTATGATGAGCTGCGGATGGATGTTACATCTTTATTTGCGTATGGGCTATGAAGTTACGCGTTTGTATATGATACGATACGATATGATATGATACCACTATAGCAATATATTGTTTGACGATACGAGTTTCAGGCATATACAAACATGCAAAATCTAATTATTGAAAAAGAATAACCTCAAACCTTTTTGGCACCCCCATTCTTGATCGTAAGAGATTAGTAATGAATGCACCTCGGCCTGCAAATCTACACACCTAGCAGCCACAGTTACTTTCGCTTCATGCATCACACCCTGCTAAACTCGGGGTTCATCTGGATCGAGAAGATGGCGCAGGAATATCTAAAACCACAGCTAGTTTAACGCTAGTTGCTCCAAAGTAGTAACATCGACAATTCTTTATTAAGCTCCCAAGATACTATGAGAATGAGGGGTAGGTACCCTTATTTATCATTAGCGAACTGATGTCAACATCCAGAATTCTCGTTCAGAAACCCCAGCCACATCACAATTAATTTGTATAGATTTTGTGCTCAAGATTAAATGCATTCATCTGTATTTATTTCTTAAAGGATTTCTATGATCTCGGCATTGCGAATGCGGGGAAATCTACCTAATATTTCTTGACAAAGAGACCTAATTCACATTAAAGATCCGCCTCTATTACTAACTTAGCAAAAGATGAATATCATACGGAGATTCGGGCCGAAACTCCTTACAATCTTCCCTTCTCTTCTCTCCTTCTTTGCAATTCCTTTCTAATGCCTCTCACCTATGGCTTTCCTGGTCACCCCGCACTCATATCAACAAAACAATCCCATCCCAGTCCAGTCCAACCCCTTCGAAAATGCAAGCCTCCCTCACAACTCATCTGCACAACCCCATTGAAGATCCCCCACCTCATCCGATAATCCAGCCCACCAATCCTCCCACATCCACATCCTCATACACACCCTCGCACAAAACACTATCGACCCATCCTCGCTACCAAATTTTCCCTCCCCGTTGCATCCGAACCCCACTTCTGCGGAGAATTCAGGACCATCTCACATATAATCCTACGTCCCCCTCTGCCAACAGCGAAGTGGTGTTGTGGAAAATCCTGTCGTGTAACACGTTTTTACAAAGACCTATGCATGTAAGTAGACCACCAAGTAAGGTAAGCAAGCCAGCAAGCCAGCAAGCGAATGCGGAAATGTCGTGCTAACTGTGTTAGAACTGCACGGCAGATGTGTCACCAAAAAAAGACTGTCCTATATTGTAACAAGAATGCACTCCATGCTTATCTCATGATCTTCCGCATGCATGCATGTAGTGCGACTTGCAAGATATAAAATCTCAAGTTTATTCTGATCCGCGTGATTAAAATGTATGGTTATCACACCTTTGAAACGCCAATTTTTGAAAATCTCGAAGATGTCATAGTGCGAATTGACTTGATATTTTACTGATCGTGATATCATTATTGCTTAGACATCGCCTGATGATACTCGCAAATCTTCGTTAATCTAATTTATGCCTCCCCATCTCGATATGGATGGCATTCCCATTCCCGGATCATATGCTCTTGTAACCTTTCGCGAAACACCCCTATTCGCTAGCCTCAAATCAAGTAGACTTTACCCGATTAGATCCTCAAAACTTGCGCCCTACTCGTGATACCATCAAATATGCATGTGTTGTCGATCGGTACATATTGTTTCGTGATAATTTTGATGATTTCTTGTGCTACCAAACCTCCAGTCAACGAAGAAATGTTGTGCAATTCGCCTCCTTTGGCTCGCGATACTTCTTCTGCAACTTTCTGGACACGTGGGTTAGAGGATGCATTTGGTACTTCTTTGTCGATTTGGGCTAAGATATCAGATGAAGTAGCCGCTACTACATGGGCAGTTGCATGAAGAGCCAAGTAGATAGGGAAGTTTGATAATGGGTCCGATGTGATAGGAGCAATTGCATCCTTTTCAGATTCCAGTTCTATTAGCACGTTAATTGCAAATTCTCGAACAGGGATGATATAAGGCGAACATACTTGCTATCTTCTGTAAATCTGTTTTCGGATTCGAGCCTCGGATAAGCTTGATGAAAGCAGCATTCTTGCAGAACGCCTCTACTTCTTCTGTCTTGATCTCATTACCACGTGCATGTGCCCGGACGGTCTCTAGTATTTCCTGGACGTCTTGTCGAGCCTTTGCTTTATATATATTCTGCAGTTGTACATATGTACTCGATTGAGTCTTCATGTCTGGAACCGATCCCGGAAGTGGGAGCTCATTGTACTTTTCATAGAACTTCTTCACAGCATCAGCGATGATCCAAAAATCAGAATTGGATTCCGCCTAAAGTCAAGTTAGCTAGGTAGCATTACACTCGCTCGATTGAATTATCTTCAAAATACCTCGGTTGGTGAGTATTCGAACACTTCCTTCACAGAATCTTTCAAATCTCGTACGGATATGTTTTTCATCACAGCTGCAACAGCTTCATCGAAGTTCTCCTCTCCACCCTCGGCATTATTTCTTCTTGTGCCATTCGTAACAGTCGTCCTGAGCGCTGCTTTATCTTTATATGACGTTGGATATGAGCCATTTTCTTCTTTCCATTTTGCCAAGAAATGCAAGAGCAGGACTAAGTAAGGTATATGGCCATGCTCATGATCATTAAGAGTGTCTATCTCTTTAGTCATATCTGCTGCAAAATTCGAAAGTTCTGGCCATGGCTTTAGAAGTCGTAAATCTGTTGTTGCGGTTGAATCTGGGTGAGTATCAACGATAGGGAAGTTTCCTGGTAGATGCGTTTTGAAATATGAGTAGAAGCCCGCGGAGTGTATGCTGACGAGAGGCACTTTGTGGGATGCGCTGTATTTCTCTGCAAGGGCGAGGATCCTGGGTTCGATCGGGAATGAATATATAATTAATGTGTATTTTTCTTGATGATCATCCGCAAATAATTGGTCGAGTTTATCGTCCTACATTTATTATGTTAGCAAATTCCATGGTAAACAAGTAGACTCGCAAGTTTACCTTGAGTTTTGGAAACCAGTCTCCCTTCACATCGGGATTGAGCTCTCGTAAAAGTTTCACACATTGTTCCGCCCTTGATTTACCCAAACTCTCTTCATCGAGAAAGAAATTGACACCCAAGTCAGCCTCATTTACGAGTTCCTCGTCCGCAATTGTAAATTTTCCAATTCCTATTCCCGTTAGTTGAGTCCTCTGCATATCCCCATCGGCTTGTCACATACCTGGAAGAACCAAATTCTTCAAAGTCTCAACACCAACTGTGCCAGAACCAGAGTTTAATAATAATAAGTTGGCATTCTCAAGCGCTGCCTGTCCAGAAGCTGCCCATAATCGTAGTTGTCGATCATATTTCTTTTCCTTGTCGGAAGGGCCTTGAAGGACAGGAGGGTTCTGGTCTATGATTATCTCCGTCATAGTTTACAGGCACACGTTAGAAAGATAGGGTGTGTGGAGTATTGGATCTACAAAGGTAACAGTTAATAGCTTCCTTGAATATCCTGAAAGTGTGTGAGAATACGGTAGATATGATGAAGTGATATATCTACTAATCAACCAACACTGAACTGTAGCAGAAGCCTTGCTTATCTAAGAATTGCTACTCTTATCGGCACGTGCGAGCAATTGAGCTCTTATCTTAGCGTCTGCTTACTCCGGAGAAACTCCTTAAGGCTGTATTCACCGAAGCTTCACTTCGAATAAACATCCATTCGGATCGGAGCGTCATCTTATTATTCAGCAATGTCGCATGAATTCGTCCAAAAATCTAGTCGGGCCATCTCATCCCACTTGGCTAAACTAACCCCACCGAATTTGGGCACGTAATAAAATAATTAACTTATTATTTCATCGTTTTATTTAAATTCCAAGATAAGATCTGACATTCCTAACCCGAGTTTTGATGGAAATATATCCTCGCAATCTTGCTTTCCGATTCTTTCGCTCTCATAAATTGTCTCATCCGATTGCACAATCAGCTAGACTCAAGAACTCTACAGTCTCCGTACAGCGTTCATTCGTAAGCGTTCGTCCCACTACGGTTCATTCCCGCAGTATATATCCCGTATTTCCACAATTCTTGAATATATCTAGAAGGAATTTTTCGAACATATCTAAGCAGCATCATACAAACTCAATGGCTTCCAACAATCCAGCTGTTCCCGGTCAATCCGCGGCCTCTTCAAATCCGATGGTTCCAGCTGCCGAAAATGCTACTCCTCATACGTATGATTACGCAAACCTTTCTCCGGTAGAGGCCTCAAAGCGTCGAGCAGCATACAGAGCAGTCGAAGATCACTTCGATCCCTCTTACAAGTATGTCGGAATTGGATCGGGTAGTACTGTCGTTTACGTAGTGGAAGCTATCGCTGCTAAAGGTCGAGATATCACTTCGAAAATGATCTTTGTTCCCACTGGTGATCAAAGTAAACAGTTAATCATCGAAGCAGGTCTGCCTTTAGGAAGCATTGATTCTTTGCCTCCAGTCATTGTTGAACCTCTTCATCTGAGTGGAGATGCTGCTTTCGATGTCTCCACGGGTCTGCAAGATCTAGGTTTGAAGGGAAAGCGTGAAAGTCTTGATGTTGCATTTGATGGAGCAGACGAAATTGACGAAGATCTTAACTGTATAAAAGGAGGTGGAGCTTGTCTTTTCCAAGAAAAGTTGGTCGCAACTTCTTCCAAGAAGTTCGTATGTGTAGCAGGTCAGTGAAGCATTTGGGTAATATGTTTGCGATTTTCACTCAAACTAATAATGCGTAGATTATCGAAAGCTCCAACCTCGTCTCCTCACTTCTTGGAAAGCCATTCCAATCGAGATTGCACCATTAGCCGCTCCAACCATCAAAAGAATTTTAATTACGCTCGGCTCGCCAGACCCAAAGATCAGACAAGGTGGAAGCGCGAAAGCTGGGCCAGTAGTTACAGATAACGGCATGTGGATCATCGACGCACCTTTCCCAAAACTTTTAATACACTCAGATTTGAAGGGCAATGATAAGGGGGACGGAGAAAACGGCACTTGGGAGGTACACACACTCGGAAGAAGATTAAAGAGAATAGTGGGTGTACTGGAGACTGGTCTCTTCCATGGTAGAAATGGCGCCCAGGTTGCCAATGCCGGAGAAGAGGGTGGTGGACAGAAGCCAGTGGCTGCATATTTCGGTATGGAGGACGGAAATGTTGAGGTCCGCACTGCTACAGAACATGGGGTGAAGTCGAGACCTTGAGTTCTTTGTGGACGTATGAGGGGAAGTGGAGCGGAGAGCTTTAGGATGATAAATAACACTGATATAGGTGGTTAGCGAGCTATTCCCTTGATTAATTGACATTCTACCTTCACATTCGTACTTTCAAAACATCAGGCGAACATGAGATTCTTGTTTTGGTTCCCTTCGTCATATAGACTCGCAATTTACTCAAGTAGAAAAGCAATTGTTTACTACTAGTCAAAATTTAGCCTTTCGAAAGTCTGCAACTGGCATCCGCAAATAAGTGGGCCCGTACAAGAATCAGAAAGGAGTTCAAAGTATACCATGAGGTGAGCTTCTCCCCCCGCTCTAGCTTCTCTCTGTACACTCAATACTTTGAAGCTCGATCAAATATAATTTTGACAAGAATTGATGCCAGACAACAGTAGTAATATGGGTAGTTCAAATCAACACCTAAACAACCATGAGATTCATTTTTTGCTTGCTCGGATCTTTCTTCAGCTCATCCGTCCAAAATTCTCTGTACAGTTGACACAATCCAACTCTCCGGAAAATGGTCAGGTTGTTGACATCCAACACTTGCTGAAGCGCTAAACCCGTCAGATATCGTTTGGTTCCACGATTGAGTGATATATCGCCATTAGGCAGACGAGTGAATGTCACCGGAGCATTATTTGAACTATAGTAAAACAATTTTCCGTTCTTTGCCATGCTCAAATCCGACAAATTTTTATCGTCTTCTCGCCTTCACCAGAAGCGTTGGCCTTCCATTGCATGAGAGTTCCCGGCCAGCGACCCGCAGATACGTTGGGTGTAGGGTACTGAGTATCGTAGCCGTAGTTTTTAAAGTGTACTTGAGCTTGCTTCAAGTGACCTTTCAGAATCATATGGCTGGGCAATGTTTGTGTAAATACGTTTCCTTTATCTGGAGGCTGGCAGTCAACTTCGAGGCAGTAGCTTAACAGACGTCCGGATGGTTTCAAGCCCGAGTGACTGTATAAAAAGTTGATCTTTTCGTGCCCGAGAGAGGCCCACGATCATGATGGAGACTTTGCTTTAAATTCGTCTCGCTTTTGGAGATCAGGGAGTGCCGCTTTCAGGAACTGAGCTGTTCCTGATGAGCTAATAGGCACATTCCTCAAGAAGGGCATATCTGTGACGACATCGCCTATTGAAAGCTGACTCATTCCCTTTACCAGAGATGATGCAGCCTTTGGTATGCTGCCACCATTCTTTGGAATGACAGTGTAGTATTCTTTGCCCAACACAGATGGCATTGCATACCTTCCACTTTGTTTCTTAGGCTGAGAGCCAACATACCATAGTAGGCCATACTCTAAGTCTTGCTTCCATAAGCCGCCCAGATAGTCATATTTTCAGAGATTGTGAATTTGGGTTGCGATACCAGCAAGTGCAGGTAGCTTGTCTGTAGGATAGGTCAAATCCCCGTACAGTGAAGCTCGATACAGCTTCATACCAGTCTTGGGAATATCGTCTTTCCGGATCCAAGGTACTAATCCATCCTGGCTCCCATTCAAGAAAATGAAGCCAAGTTCTGAGCCTATAATCGAGTCTATTGGATGGATGCGAATTGCCATTTGGTGTAGTTTCTGTGGCACATAAAGTCACGCAAGACCAGCGAAGGCCATCAGGACAAAACTTGAGAGTCCGAGCTGAAAGCACTTCTTCCTGGAAAATCCACCCACGACTGTCCAGTATCGTGCCATGTTCATCGTCTCGAGGAAGTACAGCAAATATCTGGGGTTTTAAACCATTGTTTTCAATTTCATAAACGGGACAGGGTCGCTGCTGATGTGGGTCGCGCTTCGCAAAAAGTCCTGCATATGCATGGTCGCCATTAGCAGCGCCAATTGTGATGACGGACCGAGAGTAAATGTTCCCCATCACAGCGAGCTTCCTCGATTTGTCTTCGGCTGAATCTTGAATAATACATAGAGCATCTACCCAAAGATATTTTATCGATAGTGCTCGAGTAACTCTAATGGCGTCTTTAGTCGTTTTGGAGAGTATTTGAACAGGAAGGGCATTCAAAAACTGAAGATGGTTTGCTTTCTCTAATCGTAATTGACCAATTTTGCCCCAACAATAACTCAAAGTAGCATAGGCAGCCACTTGCCCTTTTGGCTCTACGAGACGCGGCGCGATATTGGGATTCTCGTCAATATATATGACACGAGTAGGAAGCGTCCCTATCATTTCTCGACAAAGCTTGTGATTGAAGCAATCGATCATCCATGTGCTTGCCAATTTCATAGATGCGTCGAATCCATCAGCACTGTCTTCGAATCGCTGACTTGGGAAGCTTAGAAAGGAAGCATTGGAAAACACACGAGGTAATTTGCCTACGGAAATCAGTCGAGAAACATTATTAGAAGCAAAATATTACCAACCGAAAAGTGCATTCAAATCCATCTCCGCCGATAAATGACCAAAGTTAATATTAAAAAACCCCGACATATTAGTTCCACGGTCGATTTTCACAAAGTTACGACCGTCGCACGATTTGGAAAGCTCCCCTCTCTGTGTTAATATCACTCGCGTCCAGTTCTTAAACATTGAGTTCAAAAACGAGTGATCTTTTTCCAACCAAGTCTGTGAATTCCAAAGCGGCAGAGAGTTTGTCATTTGAGGATCCATTCACATTGCAATGGAGTCGAGCAGTCATTAATTTGCAAAGCTGGCAGTCGGGTCGAAACTCGTCCAAGTCTAATGAACGACGCCTTTCGTGAAAGTAGAATCGATGGTTAGAGTACGCGGCTCGTATTTCTTCAGGCGCATCTTTTCGAAAGGTAACGCTAGTCTGTTGTAAGGGAACAAATGAGATGTTTTGGCAGGTGGTGCAGAGCATGTTGAGATTGCAGTCACAGGCACTGGGGAGGAATAGTTGATTTATTGATCTCGACGGTAGATACAGACATCTTCGGTAGGAATCATAGGGACTTTATATGTTGCTTGTAATCCTAGGTATCATGAGCTGAACAATGTCCAATATTGCGGCGTTGTGGCTTTATTTGTGTTTCTTGGCAAATGTCAGCGTTGATATTGACAATCCAATAGGAAGGAGAATCACCTTGATTTAGCAAGTTAAATATCTTTCTAATATCCCACAAAAGATAATGGATGGATGTGACTATTTGCTTGGACTAGTTCATCTCATGAGGTGAAGTTTAACAAACCAATACAATCACAGTAATTCTAGTATCAAATAACCAGCTAAAGCGAAACTTTCTGATGGTTGCAATGAATGATGCTTGATCTAGACTGCGATTCTTTTTATTGCAATGGGTCAATTCTTGAAAGAGCGCTGATTTTGGAGTTTATCTAAAGGCGAGTGGGTATTATACCCAAAATTAGAGACACATAGGTGAAAATTCCCTAATCGTTGCAACACCAAATGCCTACAACCGAAATCTTATCTACTCCGAAGCGAGTAAATAGCTGCTCCCGATGATCTTAGATGAGTGTTCAGCGAGGGCATAAGTAGAAGCTTGACAAAAAGCCGCAATGGGTTATGTAACCACACTAGTATTAAGAACACAGAGTCACTCTTCTGTACATATATGTAAACTACCGTCTATGGCTTTACACGTGAGAGCAGTTCCGGCGGGATGATATACCGTCTTATGAAACTTATCAGTATGGACTTAGATTATATAGAGAGAGGTAATACGGACTTCCCGTGTACTTTGATGCGTTAGTCAACTGATTATCAGAATATAGATTCACTTTCTCTGAAATTTGCAAATAAGCTGTCTTAGAAGTTTATCGTATCTCATTATTGTAAGAGTTGAGCCCCGGCTTATTATACACTAAGCAAAAACATATCAAAAACCCTTATTTCTTTAACTTTTGAATTATATATTATTTCAATCAAAAGATCAAACAAATTTTTTAAATTAATATATTTATAATAGTAATTTAAAAAAATAATTCAAAAAATTGATTAGAATATTTTTAATAATTTTTTTGAAGGAGTTATAGGTTTTTGAAATCAAATTTTTAAAAAATACCAAAAAAAAACGATCTTTTTGTCTAGGAAAAGTATTACATGTGATAATTTTTGAAAAATTTCAATTCTAAGAATTCACAACTTTTTCCAAAAAATTATTAAAAATATTTCATTCATTTTTTTGAATTTAAAATATCAATATTTTTTATATATCAAATTTTCAAATCAATTGGTTTGATATTCAATGAAATAATCAAAGAAATTAATTTACATAAAAAAACAACTTTTTGTAGGGATTTTGTTATGAAATAGGGTGGTGTGCGATAAGCTGGGGCCACAACTCTTACATTTCCATAATAATCTGATTCAAGTAAGTCATGAATGCTAATTTTAAATCATCTCTTTCATTTCATTCATATCTTCCCTTGATACTCTATCTCTCCCCTGACCCACTTCGCTTTCATTTTCTTGAATCCTCAAGACCACAATTCTCTATCAACACCACCCCAGTTGATAAAGTCAATTCCCTCCTTCCTCCATGTGTCATCTTCTATAAATGTCTTGTTGTTGTTCAAGACCATATTTTTCGGGGCAGCTTTATTGTAAAGTGGCCAATATGGAAGGTTTGGGCTGATACTCGTCGTACTATTGGATATCGTGGATAAAGAGCTATTGGACAGAACATTTGGATCGTGATAATTCACAAATGAGATATAGGCTTTACCGATATTTCGTGATAGATCGAGATAGGACTGATATTGGGGGAGGGGACCGAGAGCGCCGGAGATGTTTTGGAATGAAAAGACAACATTCACGACTTGGGAATGTTAGCGGTGTGATTATGATAGAAGGAAAGGGTCAAAAGTGGCGAGACTTACAATGCTTTGCTCCATCAGTAACCGCAGCATTCCAGAGAAATGTATCGACTGTTATATGGGAAGAGGGTTAGTTTTACAAGGATTTAACGTGGGCGAAAAGGTGCAGGTTGAAGGGACGGGACTTACAGCGATAGCTATATACTGACTGAGAAGCAGCGGCGTAGATTTCGCACAGCTAGATGAGAATTTTTGGGTTAGAAGCTGGTACTAAAGAGGAAATAGGATGGATAGGAACATATGTTTACCTTTCGACGACCGGATATCATTACTAGATCTCCTGCGATAGCAGCACTACGTCTCCATCTGGTTCTTGTGTTAGTACGAAGAGGGCCAAGGATATTTACATCTCAGGGTTACTTACTGTAGTCCTTTGGACGGGAAGATTGTCGCATTGGTAATGTAATGTGGAGGTTCATTTGCGGGATCATTCTGTTACGGTAAGTCTTGCTATCAGGTACTCGATCACCACTTCAGATAACATACAGGATACAACTCAAGAAGCTTTCTAGCAGTTGGCGGTGATAGGGCATAAGCATTTGAAGCCCGGTATACGAGTAAATTGTTGAAGATAGCTGTTTCGTTATCGAGTCCGGCAACACCAAAACTGGTTCCTTCATCGCTATTTGCTCCAATTAAGAGAGGAACCTTGATAAACTTCCCTTGAGGTGTTAGGCTACTGGGGTAGTCAGTTAGAAAATCACCATCGACCTAAGGCAAAGTTAGTGCTATTTGAAAATATGTAATTCTGTGAATATCGAAATTGGCTTGAAATTATGAATGTACAGGTGGAGAAACGGTGTAACTTGCCATGGGATTCCATTGTTGGCTGACTTGTGCTTTCCATAACTGATCTGAAGTCAGGCTTCGTAGGCAAGCGAGTTTGTTCGTGGATGTCCAGCAACCGGTGGCTCGGGTTAGATTCTCGGTTGGTACCGTATAGTAACCGAGGGGGTTCCTAAAACCCGTTAGACTTTGAGCTAAAGCAGGAAGGCTTGGATTGCAAAGAAGAAAAAAGTAATAAGAAAAAGTCAATTTCGTACAGACTAGCTCCAGTTGGACTTCCAGATTCGATTATTGCTCCTTGGAACAAATCGTCATCTCTGCCGTCGTAAGAGTACAGATGATAACTAATGCTTTGACCGCCAGCGGATTCTCCCCAGACCGTGATCTTTTTTGGGTCTCCGCCGAAAAATGCGATATTCTCCTTTATCCATCTCAATGCTAATCTTTGATCAAGTAGTCCAGCATTGGAGCCCCCTTCAGCAAGGACTTGAGGTGTTTGGAGGAAGCCCCACACTCCGAGGCGATAGTCCATGGATACTACTAACGTTAGAGATGTATTGGCCAAAAAAAGCGAGTTAAGATTACCTGTAATAATAGGTTGTCCAGTTTGTTGTCCAACATGTGTGATGCCAGAAAGATTGTACCTGGGAATTATTAGAAATATATTGAAGATCTGAAATGCCCTTTAAATACTGACTGGGGATCTGCTGTTGCTCCAGTATAGAATCCACCGCCGAATATCCAAATCAAGACAGGCAAATTGCTGTCAGGTGTAGTTCCTGCTGGCCTTATCACTAGATTTTGCATCATTTAGCATTGATCCGGCGTGTTCTTGACTGATTATTATACCATTGAGAGTGAGGCAGTCCTCAGAAAGATTAAAAGTTGTTCCATATTGGTAACAGCTATGACCATAATGTGTCGCATCCCGATATCCAGTAAACGAAGTGTTCAAGGACTTTGGTCTAGCAAATCTGAGGTCTCCCAAGGGCGGAATAGCATAGGGCATCCCCAGGAATTGGTCTTGCTGCCATTCAGAAACATATTTCCCAATGTATGAACCGTTGGTGACGGTCACAATAGGGGAAGTAGAATTGATTCCCAGGACGGAAGATGGAAGAAGAATACTTGTGGACAGAACTGCCAGCAAAGAACGAAACTTTTGCAACCGCATCTTGTAGTACTATTGAAAGCAGTCTCTAGATTCCAAAACTGCCTCTAAATTCTTTCAATCGAAATCGGAGACATGAATGACAGATTTGATGAACTTATGCTATTTGGAAAACCTTGGCGCCTGCACTATAATCTTCATTGAGATAAATGATTTGCCAATCATGAGTTTGTAAAAATGGGAGGCAATGATTTCAATACAAGTACCAGGTGTAGAATCATACATGAAGATTATCCACTACTAAGATCAAATCATCTCCGCAGCAATTTGAGGTCATTGAAGGATTCCCTTTTTGCTAAATGCACATTGGCTTGCCGGCCAAACACCTAGAGGTTGTACCTCGAAGATGTATCCCACTATTTGATTGGTACTCTTTCAGTGGAAGAATTGGAACTTGTCGTAAGATATGCGACCATCCCACCATTCGTCCATCATACATGTCACTTTTGATAGCCTATACAAGGGTTTCACGGAGAAACTATTCTCATGCATACCGGACGTACCCCGGATGAAGATGCACCAAGATGATACCATGTTCATGTTGCATGCATCAGGGCATCGGTGAGAGACTTGGCAGGATATCAACTTTCAATGTCGTATATCTTCCTTCGTAAATACGAGTATGAACATCCGGTATGATCAGATAGTATAGGTATCCAGCTCCATCACATTTTGATATCGGAACACGAAATCTATTTCGAGCGTTGCTTGGCATCCCAAGGTGATAAGCTTACAATTGTGGGGTAAAGATTTATGCCACTTTTGACCGCCCAAAAATAAGATTTCACTTAATGTATTCCCCGTTCGGCTCGGGCCGTTTTCTTCGAACTCAAAATATCACTCTCATCAATTCTATCCACAAGGTCTCATCTGTATTGGAACCAGCAAGACAATTTGTTTCATCGAGTGTTGCTTCTTTTGATTGAAAATCATCAATTTCAATTGTCAAAATGACAATGGGCATTTAATGTAGGTGACGGAGAAGAGCAGCGCTGAGAAGGAGCCTCGTTCGGCGACGGTGTATGCACAAAGAAAATGGAGTTTATTCTTCGATGTAATGCATTGAAATGCAGGAAAGAGTTGAAGGATCATGCAGTAGTTACTACCTGCAGGTTCGTCTTTCAACGATTCCCGGTCTCATCTTTCATATTCACAATTTCACTATAAATTTTCATTACTTATTCTTCACAGTCATGTCTTTTGCGTCGAGTGTGCAAATCAATCCCAGCTTTCAACAAGCCTACGGGAGAATCGACGAACAACATGTCCCGCATGCGACATGCATCTACCAAATCCCGACGATGTTGTTGTTACAAATTTAAACCCGAGTGAAGACTATAAGACGAGCGTGTTGAGTGGACTCAATCCAAGCGTCATAATGGAGTGTGCAGGCCGAGCCTTAAGTTTCTGGGCATATCAAACAACTCAAGAGATGTTTGTTCCTGAAGTCTGATGCTACAAGCTTTACTAACGAACTTGAAGTGTTTATCAAGAATACCTTGCCAAAAGTTTGACAGACAAGTATTCAACGCTGAATTTTCAGATGGACAAGATAATACATGATGCAAACAGCGAGATATCGAACCTTCGCAACAAAATGCAGGGTGGGGTTTTATATGGTTTCCTCTTTTTCCAAGTAAATACTAAACAATGATGTAGGAATGAATTCGGACAATGATGCTTTGAGAAGAAAGAATGAGGAGCTTCATCATGATCTCAAGGAGAGAAATAAGAAGTTACTTCAGACCCAAGAACTTTACGATAAAATAAAGCGTCGAGGAATGTTGGATCAAGTTCAGACTGCGGCTTCAAATGCAGTTAATGATACATTACAAGCAACGTCAAATGGCAATCGCTTTACGGACAATCAAGGCACAAATGAACACAGACCACCTCTTTACGCACATCAACAGACCGGTGGACTGAATCGTACTAGCGGTTTTCACGACTCAACCATGCCGCCCCCACCTCAAAGAAGACGACATAGTAGCGAGTGGGATACTATTGATAGCCAAGGGCAAATTCATGCGTCTCAGAAATGTAGGAAAGCATCTTGTCATTACCAAAATTTGACCATGAACTACTTACGAAGAAAATTACAGATAATCATGTTCAGGCGACTCCTTCTTCTCATCGACAGCCTTTAGTATCCAGCAATTTCCCTCCTACAAGCATCGGCATGAACAATATACAAAGCCATATCGCTGGAACACCTTTACCTTTACCCCATGGTCGAGCTACCCCTCGTCGAACTCCACTGTCAAGTGTCAATGTTAATTCTGGTCAACCGTCCGGTTTTGTAGGCTATGGTATGCGAGCAGGTCTAAAAGTGGGAAATCCAGGAGCGTCTTTAGCATCAGAATTTTCTAGACCAAGTGGTCGATCAGGTACATCTGCCTGTTCTGGACACTTTCTCCGGGTTATGCTAACTTTCCTGCAGTAGCGCAGAGATCTGGCTCAAACCTTCCGTTTAGTCGTGACTCGAGGCTTGGAACCCCCTCAATTTCTCGCGGTGGGAGTAACTACTATTGATGTGGTTACCGATATTGCTATGCGAACCAATGTGTCTTTGCTGATCAAATCAGATTCAATGATCTCTGATGCGACCATACCATCAAGCCTACAATCTAGCTGTGAGTTATAAATCATATAGCGCTAAATGTTATCACGTGAGCTTTCTTTCTGAATTTTAGATGCAGAATTATCCTCTGGATTTTTCTTTGTTGGTATTTGAGATATTTGGTAGGTTGCTTTGTTTACATTGTTATCTCAATCTCTTTGTTTGTCAACGATAAACAAATATCAATAATCGTAATTTTTGGAACAGAGGTTGAACAGTCAAAATTTACGACGATATATGATGCTTTTTTTTTCGGACTCTTCCAAATTCTCCAGAATCTCTCTCCATCTGCAACGCCCAACAGCCATCATAAATAACCATCCCAGCAGTAAGTATCAATCATAAGTTTTTGAAGAATCTTGATCACCCACCTCTCGAAAACTCAAGACACTAGGTAGGCGAAACTTATATCATGGATGAATCATTTTGCCCTAGAATGGTCAGACGTATATCAGGGATTGAGAGTCTCAGAATTAATACTTCTGTGCCACAATATATGTCGCAGGCGACAAGTAGCTCGGCACCGGAATGTCGATATCCCATATCAGACTCTCCACGCGCCTCAATACATCTTGATTTTGGTGAAGTCAGACGTACCGGGTCAATGTCGCCAACCAGAAATCGTCTCCAAAAATACTTTTGGCTTCATCATCAACACACGAGACGTATAGTTATCATGAAGAGAAAGATCATGCGGAGAATTTCCACTCCAATGAGGTCCACTTTAATGGCTTTTCGGGGACGCAGTTCGACTAAGATCAGACGAATGATAGTATCTGAACCTTTCAACGTCGCAAAAATCGTTGATGGCCAAGCAGTGCAGATGGCCAGATATCATGAGTTACCGGTAGCTCCTAGAATGCCATGCCTTCCACTCAGCTCGAATCCGGCCAACTTCAGTGAGCTCGAATCACCAAGTCCAAATTCACAATCCTCATTGTGTCTTCACAATAGCTTGCCCCCGTGTTTCACTATCAAGCTTCCTAAATTGACAGCAACTACTGTAGAAGGTAGGAAAGTCGATCCTTTAATCCAACCACACCGTTCAGTCAGAATACCCCCGATGTTCACCACAGAAGCGCAAGCAACCCTGAACGAAACGCGGGCTTGGAAAATCTACGCGGAAAAAACACACAAGGCCTATATCAAGCTCAGTAACGCAGTCCGAGAAGTAGAAAACATGGACAGACAACTTGAGGAAGAGATTCATCAACTCAAAGACAAGAACGAGCAACTCGAAGAAGAGGTGCGAGAGATTCGCGCGGCCCGTGCCGCTCCAAGTCAACAAAAAGCCTTTGCAGACCACTTCAAAATGTTGTTCGAGAGAGAATCGAAAAATGTTGAATTTCTTGAAAATGAACTCCAGATTGCACTCAAACACTCAGCTGAAGAGTCCAAGAAGGTTGTCATGCTTGAGAAAAATGTTGAACTCGCAATCAACCTCGCAGATGCATCCACAGCATTAGCTGAAACCCTCCAGGCCAATGTTCTAAAGCGAACAATATCACAAGAATCATCGAAATCAACTGAAAGCTGGAGCCATTCAGATGAAGCAGAATTCCACACGGTTAAACTTCTCGTTGACTCTTCATCTGCTACAAAGGCTCCTTTGCTCGACCGCGCTGACTGGATGACAGCAGCGCAAATCTTGGAACTCCCTGTTCCCGAGAATCATTCAGATCTCGAAGTCTGGGAGGGAATTCCATCAGAAATCGATTCTCCGACTCTGATCGAGCTCCCAATCACTCCCGAATCTCCAATCGAGCTCCCAGCCTCCCCCGAATCCCCAATTCAACCGAGCCCTACATTCACCCTCAAGACTCTCCTCTGTCCCACCGTTTGCCGTATCCCCAGTTCTTCATCTCTTACACTTAGCTCAGCTGCGTCCGCAGGTCTATATTGGTGTCCAAGGTTGGCTACATGGGAATGGTGCAGCGTGCCGGATTTGAGATTGACAGACTTTTTGAAGGAGGACAAGAAGAGAAGAAGATGCTCGGGTAGAGTTTTCGAGGGAACAGAGTTGGCGAGTTTCAGATTGGGTGATTGCTCTGGTAGCAGTCCTTGAGGAGTTGGGATAGAATATGAGGCCCTTGACACAGGTCTTGGGCGAAGAGAGAAGAGGTAAGTGTATTTCTTTTTGGATAGGAAACAAGGAAAAGGTAGGAAAGACATACAAACTGGGTACAAGGTAACGAGTTATGCTTTACGACTATTCGGTTCTATTGTTTATCACACCTTTTGACTTTTGAAATTTATTTACGAGTCATGATTCCTATTCGTTTACTTCGGATGATATCTGCTGGTCGGAGACTCACCAGTGTAAAAATAAAAGCTTTACAAGAATATACAGTACAAAAATCTAGAAATGACAATTGAGTTTTTCGAAACCTGATAAAAAATGTGATGATGATAAATTGATGGGTAAGAGATGTGAGATGGCAGGAATCCAGCTGTGAATAAGGATATAGTGTATTTAGCAAGAGTAGAAATTCGAATGAGTAGGCCAGATTAACAGTGCTTGTTTCAAGGTAGTTTAAAGATTGCATTAAGCTTTTCGAGTTCAAGGACTTCTCTTCTAAAAGGCTGCGAGATTATGAGATACTCGATAGTGTTACTATTACTATCATTACATAATTGTGAATCGAGACATTATATTTGAAGCAGTCCAAGTAGCGTAGGAAATAGAACTCAGCAAATTTATCACAATCAATTCACTGAAATCGAGGTCAAGACCTGATACATCCAGCCTGGGTTGGGTTGATTGATGGTTCTCCGAACTGCAAGAGCTTTTCGAGATTAGACAAAGAAATGGATAGGGCTTCGAATCTGACATTTCTTTGTTCTTGAATTTCTCGAAAAGAACACCTGCTTTTTACAATCTTTGATGTTAAGCGATGAAAAAGGATAGAATGAAGTGCAAGAGTGTTTGACGATAAGAGGTAAAAATTGATCATTTGTGCACTCGAGTCTGTCGCTTAGAGCCAGTCTTGTATGAGATCCTGTCGATCACAGAAGATTTTTCAGAGAAGCTGTGCTTCAGAGAACTAATGATTAGTAAACATTGTTCATGTTGCTACCACGATAGCAATCCCTATGAGTACCTCAAAAATTACCGTGTGATGGAACTTTAATTTGCGGAGGCTCAACCGGAAGCTATTCCGGCATAGATTTTGTGAAACGTGACGACGATATGTCTCCTTGTACATTATCTCGAACGCCAGGCGAACTTATAGTTTAATGTGAATTTTGGAAATTATATGTACACTACAGGAAAGATATGAATCACATTAGACGCGTGCGCGCCGTAACGCACGTATCCGCATTCTTTGGTGCTTTGTGTTTGAAAAACCTTACGAGGAAATCTGGCAAACGCAATTGCCTGCTCCACATCTCTTCATAAAAAGAGCAAGCAAAAGGAGAAATACTGAGTTGATATCTCGGTCTCCTCCAATGTAGCATATGTTGAATCTAAACCTGGAACCGAGACGATGGGCCATAAAACTAGGCATGTGATGTCAGTGCTGACACAGTTGTATACCCAGATATTCCATAGGATCAGTGGAGTGTTGGCTCGTGGCGTGGTAAGAGAGGAATTTCTTGAACGAATCGAGCCCCAAACTTCGGGAAAAGGATGAGCCTCATCAATGCTTCTCAAATGTGCGCTCCAGTTCCTTGAAATAACAGTGTCTAGAAATTCAAATCTTAAATCTTCATTGGCTCAGCTGACTTTTTGGTGCATATCTGTCACTTATCAGATAGCTTGAAACCGGGATTGGCGAACGGTACAGGAAGACCTAGAGGCCCTGCACGAGCTCAAGTAAACCATGCTCAAGCCACGAGCCTTAAAAATGCTCTTGACTTCACTGCATCTACTTATGGATCTTCATGTAGGTGAGTGCCTTTACTTTGCGGCACGGGTGTAACTGGATGACTGGTGACTGAAGTAGCAATTTAATCTGTAGGGCTACGAACTGATAGTACGTGTGTTTGAAAATTTGCGGTGATGGTCATGTCGTGAACAGAGAACTGTTCGTTTCTTCTGCGACTACCCGTCCCGTAAGTAATGCTAGATTGTGAATAGCAACATGTGTTCATGGAAGTCTCAGCTCATGGTATCTCGTCTCGCAAAGTAATGAGCTGGTAAAGTCGACTTTAGTGTAGACAAATTGAAGTTGATTCTAAACCTGGAAGTTCATGAATAGGAATTATATTACATAAGCAGAGTGAATATGAACGTCTTATTAGTGACCCACCCGTTGTCCCCCAACGTCCCCCAAACTTTTGAAACATGAAAAAATAGAACGTTAGCACTGATTCATTACACTTGTGGATTATATCGGTCGTTGAATTAAGATACCATTCTAACAATGAAGCTTTCTACATCATACCGTGTCAGGTTCTTGCGACCTCCCAATTCCGACTGTACAAGGTACAAATTGCTTGCTGCTTAATTTCATTCCGTCGCTCTAGATCTTTCGGAACTCCAAGACATATTCTTCGGATATCCAATAAGGTCAAAGGAAACAGGGGCTAATGATATGAGCCCCTTCTATACATTTACGATGATGGCTGTCTGCGAGTACAATAGGTCTGAAACGGGCCGCTCATAGCCTGCCTTCCACGATATCTGACCAGGTCTGCATGGCTAACATATGGAAAACTGATTTGAAAGCTGTCGAGCCGACCGTGCCTCGTATAGCTCGAACCATGATGATGCCACTTGCTACTGCTCCCCTGAGTCGCTTAGTCGAGGTGCAGTGCCGATACCCATTGAAAGTCTTCAAGAGAATCAGCACTTGCATTTGCCAATTCAGTATTCTCTGGCAAAATTACCCATTTTTCTGCATATTGGATATCTTTCTGAAAATAAATCCCTACCGCTATTGCTGGAAATGTTAAACAGGGCGCTCTTCCTATATCCAATTATACGCCCTTGTTCTTGTGATGTCTGGTTATCTAACTTCATAGCCTCATATCTTCTTAAATTTGAATTCAACTAGCTTTGATTGGTGTCATAATTCCGAATGTCTTCAATCAATTGAAGATTAAGCTTACATAGCCATACCGTCGGGCCGTTTCCCCTGCGTCTTGCATCGTAGATGTTCTACTTGTCGTTTGGAACGATGCTCTATTGATCTTTTCTTAGATTTCCAAGAGAAACGTTTATCAGAGGTTGTGTATAAGATTCCTTATTTTTCTTCAATCTGTTTCCTCTGCGCAAGCATTCAAATTGAGATCTGCGAAGATTGTTACTTAGATCACTATAACTCGCCTTTGTCTCAGACTACAGACCATCTGGCTCACGTTCTTTTCATTTTTGTGATCAGCTTTATCATCAAGCATAAAATTTCTCATATTACTTCTTACAGCATGTCTTCAAGCTCGGCATCATATCATAGGCAGGCTCGGAAAGAATCCGGATCTAGGTGCGTGGTACCACAGATAACATCACTTATTTGGGACTATCTTACTGACTTTTATAAGCACTGAGAATGAATCGCTTCATCAATATGACCACCAAAACGCTGACCACAATCGATCTCGTAATTTCGCTGGCCCAAAAAAAGAAGAATCTCCCCAGTCCTGTACACAATCTACCGCGGGTCCTCATCCACAGTTCTCCCACTCCGATCATCGATCACAACAAGAAGAATCTTTCGTAAGCAATGCAGCTAGTTTTGGTGGCTCCAGCCATAATACTGGCTATATGTCAGAGAATAACTCGCATGAATTGGAAGCTCAAACCCATGAACCTAATTCTCAATATACTTATTGTCACTTGGATTACTTCTCACACGACCGCGCAATGGTTTCGCACTACGACAATCACCTTGCCATTGAGGAAGATCCGAACGAACAGTATAGCCCTCTCCAACTAGAATCTCAACTTGCGACAACAATCTCGACCACAGAGAATGGCATACAAGCAGCGAGCGATGAAATTCAAAAAGTGCAAAAATATTCACCAACTACCGAGATGTGGGCTCTGCATGAATCTCGAGATGAAAGAATACGTCTCGGCTTACCCGGTGGCCAAGAGTTTCGTCCAGACATTTTTGGATACGACGAAGAGCGTGTTACCGAGGCGCATTGAATTCTTTGCGCCATTCATGGGATTCCCTTCAAATTCAGGCTTTTGCCAAGCACGCACGTCAGCTCCACATACTCTTGAAAAACTCGAGTGCCAGAGCCTTATCGACGATCCAGGCCACATTTTTTGTATATTCAATCTCCTTTCTTGTTGTTTTCTTCTCTTTTGATTCCATCGTCTGAGATAACCGGATTTCCTTTGCACCTAACGATGTATATTATCTCTTCATTTCTCTTGTCACTTTGTATATAGATACATCAGCTAGTTAGTTTCATAACCATGTTACCAGCACATCAATTGATCTATTTCACCAACTCACTCTTCTTCATCTTCTAAATCCACCAAATTCTCATAGAATTTACATTGATACTCCCTCATATATGAGAAAAACTCACCAATAAAATTGAATGCGGCGCGTTGTTTATCACCCCACCGAATGTATTTTTCCCGCCGAGTACGAAGCGCAGCGTGAGATACTTTCTGTGATGACTTCACTTTAAGATTGCGGCCATCTCTTATGGTTATCCTAGTTTTTACTCTCCGTCATTTCTTTGATCCGTGCAAGTGACTTGTTTCTACCTCTCAATCTGCACACGTCATTCCAATCAAATCAACTCACTCCACACAGTTTCCTTCCACAAACCCACCCAATTCTCACAGAACACTCCCTGAACATCCAATTCTCAACACATCTCTGCATCTCCAAACCTAAAAAACAAAATATATTCCAAATCTCTCCCCAATAACAGCACTTTGTCTTCACACATTTTCTACCCCATCATAACAATCCATCACATCTCCAGATCCGATCTCTCTCCCATCTAATGTATCTCAGCATGACACCCACCATCCGCCAGCTCTTTAAACAAGCGATTAGCTCCCATTCGGGAAAAACAAATTTCTCCTGCGGGACTTCGGTAGTGTTCCTGATCAAATTTAACAAGATCGGATCTATGTTTTATCCCCTAACAACGGGTTATGGTCAGTTTCGCTTATAATAGCTTATCAGCCAATTATGACATTGTAATCTAAGAGAACTTGAGATGATCAATAGTATTTATTTTGGAAATAGAAAATTATAAGATTTAAGAAGATTTATATAATTTATTCTTAAAATACAATACATGAATCTATAATAAGCCTTTTGATTATCATCTGTCTAATAAACTCTAGTCTTCAATTTCAATTAAACAATTTTTATATTCGATATGATTTATAAATTTATTGATATTTTAGATTGTGTATAGGCCACATATACTAGCCATGATTTATGGTCTAGGGGATAGTAAATAGTTCTTTTTTTTGAGAACAATCACAAAAATAAATACATCAATAGCTTTACTAAGGAAGCTAACCGTCTCGATAAAGCTTATTTATATTAATCTAGTTCTATTAATATAATTAGCAATGAAATCCTTCAAAGATTATTCGCTCCCTTGATTACGCTTAAAGAGCCAACTATTGTATTTACTTGCGATGTGAAATTGATATTTTAGATTGAGATGAACAATCTAATGATTTGACATACCCATTGATGGTTAGGAAGAGGAAGTGATATGACACTAATTGACAGGCATAAGTCAACGTGGCAACTGGAGTCGATAATAACTTCATGAATCGAAAGAGACAGAATCAAAGATGTGACAGATACATGAAGTGGAATCATTACAGGAATTTCTCGCTGATTTTTTGAAGTACATGTAGTTCAGTTGTGATTGAAAAGTCATAATTTCATAAAACTATAAAAAGCCAGCATTATAAGCATACAGTCATTAAGCCTGACGCTCCGCTGGCCCGTAAAGCCCTCTCCACTTATAATCACAGCTATTCTATTCCCAGTCCAGCCAGACCAATTCCACCCTATAGCCTCCGTCCGTATCTAGTCAAAATCAGAATGTAAGGTCTAACCACTAAAGCCATCTTTCGCTTAGCAAAATTCGAGACTTCCCTCATCCCATCCCATTTCACACTCGATATCCTTCAACACTGCGCCAATGGGGGTCGCATATGTGACATCACCAAAGCCCGAAATAATCGATCCGCCATCATTACCACCCCAAATCATAGCCATGGGTATGAGTGCCGCAGTAGGCTTATCAGCATCTGTAGTGTCAATATCGATATCGTAGATTAGAGAACCGGAATCACCTCCACCAGATACTGCTTCTCCGTTCATCGCGCCGACAAACACACATTCCTCCGAACATCCATGGCCATTTTCATGGTGGATGCTTCTGATGCCATTCATCTCGCATGCCAGCCAACCCAATGTTCGACTTGGGGCTTTGAAGTAGAATTTATTTGTGCCAAGGGCCAAAGACGAGCTCGGATGCTTGATATTGAATCTTTCTGAATCTTGTAAAACCTGACACTTTGAGTTGGAAGCTTTGCATTCGTCAGTTGGCCACTGAGATTCGTTTTGTTTGCCTTGCACCAAACTAGAGATTTAAGTTTCTTCCACGAATCTTGATCGAGGTAACTACAATGAAAATTAGTATTGTTATGCAAAAAAGGATATTGAAAAGAAATGAGAGGCTTACTATGTTACTGATGCCAATGCAGAGATTTTTGATGATAGCCCAATCGAGATTTCCAGTATATCCAGGAGCTTTGCGCCATTCCTCTGGAGCAGCAGAAACGTAGCCAGCAATAGGACAGTAGTCTTCAGCCGCATTGTATCGAATGAGAGATGACTTTCGATGGATTTCCTGTGTCTCTATATGCAACATATACTCTTCATCAATATTCGCCGCATCTTCGAAGCGCACGTTTTTGTTTCCGAATGTGATGTTATCAAGAGCAAATTTCAATCTTCCCTTGGTTTCAACATGATCCTTCATGGCAGGTATAGAGACTTGCAACTTTTCCTCTCCATTCTGATGTTTGTATTCGGATCGAAAGTTTTTATACGGAAAGACAACGTGTCTGCAAGTGAGACTGTAGATATCATCATCATGTCTCAGGAAACCAGTCAAGGAACCAGCAGTATCGTGTTCTTCGCGTCCGATCGAGAGGCCAGGAAGTGGAGTGTATTCTCTATATATTTGTTCGAAATTGTGGATGAGATCAACACCGCGGTTGATTTGCGATGCAGAGCTTCTAAGTCTCGAACTATAAATTTGAGAAATGTCGATGCAGTATCTAGATATGTCAAGTCAGTTAAATATTCCAATGAACAAATTGGAGTGAGTATGAAGAAGTACATACTTCTCAGAAGTCTTTTTCTTTTGGGAGATAATCTTATCCATGCCTTCCAGAACCTTGATAGCATTGTTCCTAGTGTTTTCAATATCTCTATTTTTCTCGATGTCGCTGTTGTTCTCAATATCTCTGTTCTTCTCAACGTCTCCATTACTTCCAGCATCGAGGAAGTAATCTGGGGTTGAATGCATAGATGAATAACAATCGGATTATCGCTTCTAATATCTTTGAAGCCAAGTCGAAGAACATCCAAAGTCCATGTACAATCCGAGAGCTCGGAGACGAGAAAAATCTCTAAGCGAAGAGCGAATGTTAATTTCGAAGTCTTGAATATATTGCTGATCTTGTTGGCCTTGGACAGCGAACACATTTTTCTCTGGAGGATGGTAGAAATTTTGTGGACCGAGGACGTCATTTGGTGCTTGATTGGTAGCAATTACTTGTTGTCATCGAAGACCATAGTTGCACCGGTCTTGTGCTTTAATAAGCCAAGTATGAGACATGTTGTGATGTCGATTACTATTCTGTTGAATAGGAGTTGGGTTGTCTGAAAGGATTCTGTATGGAATACTAGAGAATGTCTTTCTGAAAGTATTGTTGATGTTTCTGTAATGGGGAGGAAACAAGCAGAGACTTTATGTGTTTGCCATATCCATACATTGTCGTAGCCATGAATGAAGTAGATTTAGCGTGCATCTTTCGTAGACATAGTCATAACCGAGGTGATTGAGATGTGGGATATGCCCAAAACTTGGTCAGGAGGTATGGGTGACTAAAGTTGTTCTCCGGCAGAAGAAAAACTCAAAGCACATCTTTTCAAAAAAATTCCGGAGGGCAAGTGCTGCAATACGACACAGGAATACAATATGCTGCTGTACTTGCGAGACATTGCCGAATCCGAGCCGTAACTCTTTCATTGCTTCAAGAGCACACAAGAATCGATCGATCATCCGGTTGATACGTCTGGCCGTACAGTAATAAGTAGGTCGTTGAAAGCAAGCCATGGATTGTTCATAATCAATACTCCAAATGGATACAAGGATACGCCGATAAGGAGGACGCTACGGTTAACACATCTAGTTAAATTATCTATCAGAGACGTCTCACGTTTTCGAATCCCTCCCAAACCGAGTAAAGAAAGAACAATTAAACCCCCTTTCCGTCAATTTCCTAAGCATGTAAATGACTTGCAACATATAAAAAGCTTCAACACCCACCCACCCAACCAACCAAATACAAATCCACGCTTCCACAATATCCAACATCCAGATTCTCCCCCTCAATCCCACTCTCAATCCAATCATCCCAGATTCCGACCCCCCCCCCCCTTCTTTCTCCCACCCACATACATACACCTCGCTTAGCCCTCCTCATTCTCTCACTAAAAAATTCTCACACCAACACCAATACCAATACCTATCCATCCATCCATAGACCCGAAGCAACCCCACCCCACTCCACCCCACTCCACCCAACCCAATTCACTTCCCCATCTCCATCTCCATCTATCAATCATCAACTATTAACTATCACCTATGTTGACTCCCAAATACTCTCTCCCTCTCCCTCTCCCTCTCTCTCTCTCTCTCTCTCTCTCTCTCTAATTCTTCAAAAAAAGAAACAAAACGAAACGAAACTATCTATCATTTTAGATATCCATATGTTATTCTAGCCATCTATCTCCTAAACCTAATATATATATATATATATAAGCGCTATCGTGCGTTTTCTGAAGTTTTTTCTATTTCTATGTTTCGGAGGAAATTTGGGCGGGGGAAGGGAGAAGAAAAGGAGGGGATAGATAGACGGGGGACTTTTTCTCTCTTTTCTCTCCTTTTCCTTTTCGCGATATGTGTTCTGAGATAGAATGTGGAGGGTCACTGATGAGGGGGGGGGGGGGATTTGGAGTGTGAGGGAAAGTGAGCGTACGAGGAGAAGAGAAGGGAAGTGAAGGGAATCATGAGATAAGTGGAAAAGTTCGGGTTAACATGGACTATTGATGATACATAAATACATACAAATATACCTGTAAGAAAATCGATAACCTAGCGACCTAATGTAATATGGAGCTTTCCCCAGAATTCAAAAGACAGCAGATACAAAGTAAACAAAGTTTTACCCTATTACCTTCCAACCCAAAAAAACCCAATCAAAAATCCACATCCCTCCCTCCCTCCTACAGCCCGGACCACCCCTTGACCAGCCGCCCTAATACCCACCCCCACCCCCCTGCGGATTCGCCAACTTCTCCAAAACCCTCTGCACCACCTCCTGCGCGCCCCGAACCCCCCTCTTCCCAATATCATCCGGAATGAGATTCTCCGCCAACAAACTCTTCGCGCGATCGCTATTCAAGAAATCCACCAACGTCTGCGTATTCTCCAATTGTTCCGTCCAGGCCCTCTGGAACTCATCCGCGAGTCTCGTGCCATTTTCGACCGCGGCCAAGCGATCATTCTCGAGATCGATCAAGCGCTGTTTGTAGAGATTTTCGAGCGTGGCCCGACGAGCTTCAAATTGGCGCGCATCTGCCGCGCGAGTATTCGCAAGTGTTTGTTCGCGGGATGTGAGTTCCTTGGATCGCGTTTCGAGATCTTCAGCGCGGGTATTGAGTTGTTTACGCAGGGCTTCGAAACTTTTGCGTTCTTTTGCGAGAGCTTCGCGTTCATTTTGGAGATCAATAGCTTGTTCGTGAAAGTCTGGGCCTTCGGTGAAGCGTTTCCATTTTTCCTTTGCGTTGTAGACGTGGGAGCGTTGGAGCTTGACTTCGTTAAGAAGATACGTGCGTTCTGTGTCTGCAACTTCGGCGGCTTCGCGGAGAGATACATTGTCCCGACGGAGTTGTCGGAGTTCCTCGAGATCATCGCGGGTTTTCTTTTCCCACACGGAGACACGTTCAGGCCAGACAGGTTTGACAACACTGACGACGGTGGGGCTGCGTTCCATTTCGCGAGTTACTTTGACACCGGGATGTTCGGCGTGGGCGGGGATGACGAAGATGGTTTTGAGGGAATCGTTGCGGAGTCGATAGTAGCGGGTTATGACATCGATGGCGGTGATACCACGGGAATATTCTTTTCCACCTTTGGTTTCCCAGAGACGTTCACCTTCGACGCCGAGACGAAGATGGTTTGCACGAATTTGTTCGTCGACTCGTTCTTTCTTTCCAAATTCATCATTGAGAAACTGCCAGATATCATCGCCAGAATTGACGAGTACGAAACGGTCTTGTGGGTAGACGAGCTCGCGGCCGCTACGTCCATCAGGTCCTACGCGGGAAAGTGCTTGATGGGGAACAACGGCTTCACCTTTCATTACGTCCATGGCATTTGCATGAAGACGTTCGAGGTTATGAAGACGTGCGACAAGTCGTTGGATGTAAAGTATCATTTGACCAAGGAGAGTTGTTTCTGCTAGAGGTCGATTGTTATCGTCATCTTCATGGGGAAGAACGCCCAGCAGACCTCCCTTGGCGCTATATTCATGGTCGATTAGTTCAAGTACTTCATTTGCGTGTTTGAGAAGCGCTTCATGGGTAGCATATGGAAGCGATGGACCGTCAACGGGAGTTGGATCCACTTCATGTAACGGACAGACGTCAATCTCGACAAAATGATCTGGTTGTCCTGGATTTACCATTGTTCCCGGTTCGACATATTGAGGTTCCAATGTATTGAGTAGAGTGGGAAGTGGTAAATTGTGATGGACGGTATTATTCTCGTATACATTATTCAAATTATTGAGAAAATCGAAAGTTTCATTTTCATTGAAACTTGGGGCTCCGTCAAACTTGGTAACAGCTTTTTGATTCTTACTATCGATAGTTCCTGCGTGTGTGGAAAGAGTAATTTGCTTGAGGAGAATAACCAATGCTTGAGCGTGTTGTTTCAATTCCAGAATTGTAGGTGCATGACCTTTGGTAGATAAATAATTGCAATTGACATGTTTAAAGAGGGGGATCAAGTCTGGTTGATTGAGTGTAAAGATGGAACGATATGCTTCTGAGAATTTCGTCCGTTGTACTGCTCCTCGAGCTAGACCACTTGATCCTTTAGGAGCAGGACCTATCGTGTCAGGAGCTCTCATTTCGCCAGAGCCTCCAGCTCTTCGTTGCAAAGCGGCAGCGCCTGCAGCTGCAGCTGGTGCGTCCCTCATTACTACATCGGCCATGATTATTGTAATGTTTTATTGTGTGGTAATTGGTCCGAGAAGATTTTAATCGTTGACTTGACTGTCACTAAATGTAGCTTCAAGATTATCGTAGCAAATAAACAAATCGCAAAATAAGAATAACATGGTGAAAGAGAAGATCAAGTACCAACAATGACGCTTTAGGAAATGTGTATGCCGTACGTTATGCAGCTTGAATTGAGATAATGAAATCTTAGGAATATATGTCATTGAACATCAAATCCATAGAAGCAGTTCTTTGATGATATGAACAATGGATGTTCTGCTTTCAAAGTAGGAGGGTCTGTTTGTTGGAGGGCATTTGAATGGAATCGTGTTTTCTTGGCATGAAGATTTCGTCTGGTGGAAGTAGAGATTCATATCACGTGAGCTCATGACAATCTTGGAAGTGAACATGTGATATGACCATAATATTAATTATCCATCCATGGTAAAGAATTGATTTATACTTGCAAATATCTGATTTTCATTTGGGTGTTCTCCTGGCATCTGTATCAAGTAATCGTGAAAGGCGTGCAACTGACCTAAGAGATACTGTGACGATAGTGTGGTGATAGTATCCAGTACATAGTAAGAAATTGAGCACTTGAACATTCTTATTTTTGTATAGACCTAGTATCTATATCCTCAAGAATTATCACCATTGGGAAATTCCCATCAATATGAAAACACAAGCTGTACTCACTCCATTCATATCAATAATTCAACCAAAACCAGCGGGGTGAAGTCATATAATTGGACGATTCAGCTGGACAGGCTTGAGACAGGCCATGATAACCATGTCTGGCTAGGTAGCTGCAGTGGGGTAAGTGATAATTCTGCAGGTACATATTGGTATTTACTCGAGTACATAAGATCTTATAATATTGTGACTCTGGTGAGACCGATGAGCGATGAATAAGAGCAAAAAATGAGAATTGGATTGAATGTAGCTGGATAAGAAAGGATCAAAACGAATGTGATTGATTCTCTGTATCGTGCTGTATCGTGTGGTCTTCAG